GTGAAACTCAGCAGAGGGGCGTGTCGTTATGACCGGTGAGTTTCTGTCACCCATGAGCGTGTGATTACCCGGTTTTCAAGGCAATTAAGGGCCAGTGATTTGCGCTCCGTTTTTACTGCTGGTGTACGGCACGTTTTATGGCCGGCGCCTGCTGAGGACATTGGATCCAGGCCTGTTATCGAAGAATCGATCGATCCTAAATACTATGGGTCTTACATACTGTGCCGGACCCGAAAAACTCCTAAAGGGGTTTATTGATGGGACAGTTTCAAGAGGAGGGGACACCCCCGTTCCCATAGTACTGACCAGGGTCGTTAGGATGCACATTTGAACAGAGGTTAGACGTTTAAAACAGGCAAGATGTTTGAGTGTTCGATACATTCCCGGTGTCACTCTACGACCCCTGTGTTTCTAGAAACGCGGTTTGAAGGAGCCTCTCACGTGTTAGGTCTCTGAATTATCGCTGTATTCATTTCTAAAATGAGGAGTTTAGTAGAAAAACCGCCCTTTGGACCCGAGTATTGGTGCAGCTTTAGCTGGGAACTATTCCTCTCCATCACAAGAAAACAGGTGCCTGGAATCGTGTTTCCTCAAGAACTTCCCAGGTTTGTACGGAAAGGTTTTGCCGGCGTGTCATTCAATGAGTTTCCACTTGTGGTCCCCTTGGGGGGAGGTTATCCCTTCGCGAGCAACTGAAGCACCGGGTTCACTTGCTGGTGGATCTAAATGATACCACTGTGCTGAGGTGGAGGTAAAATCAACGGAATTACTGGTCTTGTCAATAGTTATTGAAGGTCTGTCCGAACACACAGTCGCATCTAAGTTTAAAGATGATGAACTGAGAAGACTACTTCTTCTTTGTCTTCTGCTATGACATGCGGTTTTCTCTTGCAGGATTTTAACACTCAGCGTTGTCATGTGGCCTTATACGGTCTTCAAGATTAGTAAACCTTTCGGCTTCAATTGAAATATCGGGCCTGAGGGTTATAGGGTAGCTGGGCCATGCCGACGTTTTGCGGGGCGCTCACGATCACAGTGTATTCCTGTCGTGGCATATAAGTTTAAAGCCTTTTACGTAGCAACATCAGAGGGCCTGGGCACCTGATACGTTAAAACGGTGGCTTGCTGCGGCGACGTTACTATCTTCATTCCCTCCCTTCGCAAACACTCAGTCAAAATTTCTGCTTTTTCTACATGCTTTTCAACTGAGTTCTAAAGCCACTAGGTGGAAATCCCGAACTATTCTCCAGATTTCTTCCATCATGGTCCTAATATTATCTATTTACTTCCCGTGGCCCTAACATTGTTATTCGTGATCGATATATCCTCATTTCTAACGGGATGTGTGTGCTGTACCAACTCATCAGCATCCGAGGTGTGCGGCGTAACAATACTTCTGTCACACAAAAAGCGATGAAATGACACTTCTTTCCTCCTTCTCACCAAAGCAGTCAGTTTTAGAACGCTTAGTCTTAGATCAACTTGATTAAAGGGGTGTTTAAACTGAGACAATATTGAGATAGACAAACAGCCAACGGCTGTAGTGGCGCGACGAAACGTTGAAAACGCACAATCTGAAGCAAACAGTGGAACCGCAGACTGAAAATAGGAGATAAATTGATGCATAACTAATGATATATAATGATAAGAGGTTAGACAATCGGATGCTTGCGGGCTGATATGATCAGGAACCACCTGAAAAAGTAGCGCATTGATTCGGCCTTACTGCTTGAACAAGAAACGGTAACTGCAGTTTCCTTTCTAAGAGGATGATCTCGGAATCAAGTGTTACCCCAAAACCCTTGAGAAGTAGGGACCAAGATTATCATGAATTCACCTTACTATAGTGGTTAATTAAAGACAAATAGCTTTCGCTCACAAGTCTTATTCACGCTAGGTAGAACCAGTTTTGCTAGCCGTCTTACCAGTAAAACAATAAATTAGTCTCATCGCCTACATACATTTTACGCAAACGCTGGTTATAGGCTTTGAGTTTCCGTCGCAACTACTTTTATAAGCTGCGTGACTGATTTCCTGTCCACTCATGCTTATGGCAACAAGATAATTACTTTTGGATGAGGTATGCCGCATCCTTTCGTAAATTAAAAAGCAGGCAGTTAGCCTCCTAACTAGCTAAGTGTGCAGACATCCAGAACGCGAGTTGCCAACGCTGCATATTTCTTACCGCGGCTCAGTCGCCTCAGTATCATCAAAATTTATGGCCCCGAATTTAATGATCATCCGTTGTATATTTACCCACCAGAAGAGAGTGTTTTCAAAATTCCATCCGCTTATATCGAGATATTTTGTGTCTAGTTACTTTATCCCGATATCAGACCCGTTCTTATGGTATTAAATTCAATTCAGATTTTCCGCATTCTTTCTGTGGAGCAGATCTGTATACGCCAATTATTTTCAGCCACCTGGCTCTAAAAGTTTGATTTCAGTATCTTTTCTCCTAAACCACTGACCTCAGCTTTCCTCGCATATCATTTGCTACAAAAACTCATTCTGCAGTCCGCACCGGTATCATTTCACTCACAAAATGGAAGATCAGTACTATGTGTTTTACTTGAAGCAGCAGATATTAAGGTGTCAATTCATGGTCGGTCAAAGCACTTTTGAAATGTAATACACTTGGTTCCCTCTACAGACTGGAATAAAGCAAAAAGAAAGATCAAGTCATCTCATTTCACTGCCTTTCACCAGCGGCAAACTGCCTGCAGTTGAAATGAAATATTGACGGTTACGATGACGTAAACCTTAAGAATGCGGAAACAAACGAAACAGCTGAATGCATTGAGAGGTCTTTGCTTCTCTGAAGAGATTTAGGCGGCCCGTGTAACGGAATATTGATCTGAAAAACCCTCCCGATCACCCTATTTAATTGTATTGACATTTATTTGAACATTTTCACCTTCGTTATGGATAGTATACCTTTGACCCTTGCCGGTGCAATGTTATTTGGTTGTTTGACCGTCTTCTTTGACTTTGTACCCACTGTTTGCCTTTGTACGATTGGGACTTACCACGAATGTTTCGCTTTCTTATTATGTGATGCTGGACTGTTGACAAGGTGATGTTTTACTGCGCCCGACATTTTGTTCTGGTTCGACTTACGTTTGTACTGTGGTTTGACTTTGTCTTTTGACTGTCTACTAGCGACGTCCATTTAATAATAATAATAATATTTATTCCGGAATATACAGGCACACACCATTTTTACAGGTATGAATAAGTCTATTACAGATTACACTCATCTTCATGGAAGGTAATGTGAATGCCTACCCGTTGTCACTAGAAGATATAAGTGCTGTATATTCATATAATAGAACATCCCAGCAGAATAAGTGCGCAGAACATCTACAAGGTGGACAAGTAGAAGTATTGTTTTCGCATTAACAAAAAACTAGGTTTGTATCTAGACACTGCAGGAATTACCTGGAGAAAAGTAAGGCTTGAAGCTAATACTTCCACCGTAACAGTTTGTATTTTTGCTTGAGATAGTGATGAAAAGTTTATGAATTGTTTGCATATTGTACTTCATTGGCGATTCCAGGACTGTATAATTCATCCATGCTAACACCATTCCAAAACAAAGATTCATAATCATGATAAATATTATGACTGAAAGCCAAATGTCTTCACTTTTCCAACTCCGGCATCCAGAAGCAATAAACTTGTTTGAATGCACCAAGTGGGCTTCCAGAACATCTTGTCCTTCGTTTTCACGGGTCATGACAGCCTTGCAGTTGGTAAGTGTTGGACTTTGCTGGTCACTTACATACTGAGTTGATCCTAGATTTAGATAATTATGAAGTTGTAGTCCAGTGAACATTCTTTATTTCTGCTTGTTGTAGTTAGGCATTCTGAACGTAGTAAAGCTGGTTACCCTGCATGAAGGGTAGTTTCAGCCATGGCCTGTTCCTTAAGTGACTAATTCTCGATGACAACAAAGCAAACGTTTAGAACTGAATTATTTTTCTACAACGAGA